CAAGGATAGACAAGGCATGCAGATGGGCATCGAGGCAATGACACAGCAAGGGACAAGGAAATGCTCAGAGCAGCCAAACCACACAGCTAACAGACAAGCTGCAAGGAAAGACATTGCAAGTGGATGGACAGCAAGGTAGTGCAGGAGTGCAGACCAGACAGTCTTTTCATCCAAGACCGACCGAGGAAGTCCATAAGCCACGGACACCACAAGCAAAACTCCACAGACTGTTGGTTCTCAAAACCCTCGGAGCCAGGAAGCCACTCCAATGAACGTCTGTCATCAACCATGGAACATTCACTGACATCCTGACCAGAGCAGCCCCCCTAATGGTGTTGCAGGCACTCCAAACAACCCACAACTGACTTAGAATGAACAACAGGAGGGAAGAAATACATACACATGATTGTGTGCGTGTGTGTGTGTGTGTGTGTGTGTGTGTGTGTGTGTGTGAGAGAGAGAGAGAGAGAGAGAGAGAGATGGCTTACATGACAAACATGTGCGCGGCATTATGATTGAACTGACTGTTCTGGACTATGAGGTGCCACACTCGATTGAGTTCATGGAATGATTGCCTCTTGTCGCGTTTTATGGCAATATTGTGAATGCAGGCGTCTTCCCAAGCCCAAGGGTCAGACAGTTGGATCCTTCCAGAAGGGTCTTAGTACTTTACCCAAAGCCATTGCCAAAAGGTATATTCTCAGACCTATGCGCCAGGTATCACTTCTCATGTTATCATGCTCTGCATTGTAAGTGTACTAAATGATGGGTTAAGCAAGCGACAGAAATGAAAAGAGAACGGAAAAGAGGAAAGACAATCACCTCTGTGTGGTCTTACAGCAATTATTACTGTGGCTGTGGTGCTCTCTCTGACAACAGAAATTGCCATACCTGCTGACTGTTTGTCATGAGCAATGTACTGATTAAATATGCAGTATGCCGTATGTTGTGTGTACTAAGTTGTAGGTGTTACATATGGTGTATAATAAACTTTTGTTTTGTCATTATATGAACATGAACTTTGGAATTTGTAGGGAGATCCATGGTCCTCTCATATAGCCTTGGAAGTTGGTATGTAATATGTGACACCTCTAGGGTATCGTCATAATGAATGGCTCCGATTGCAGGCTGACCGTATTTACTTGCGGTGCAGATCGCAGGCCAATCAGAAAACAGTTCTGATTGGCTCATGATCTGGGCCGTTCGTGCGAATGTACAGCCTGGACAGCATGCTGGTGTGCATTTTTAGTGATCCTCCTGCGAACTGGACCGTCCATCCTGTGAACAGCCCAGATTGTAATCTGATCTGAAGGACGCAAACAGGACCAATTCGCATATCTCAGCTGGTACACCCTTTTTGTGCCCGTTGCCTTCTGCTGCCAGCCGTGTCCCCTTGTCACCTCCCACTGCAGGCCATCCCCTCCTGCCACTGGCCCTTGCCTCCTGCCGCCACCTGCCATTGCCTCCCAACGCTGCCTGCTGTTGCTCCTGTCGCCCCCTGTCGCTGGCTGCTGTGCAATGACTTGCTGGTTCTGCTGACCTGTAGCCCGTCGAGTCGAGGCTGTACCGTAGGTAGGTCAGATTCGTAATCTTGTTTGGCTGAGGGTTAACCACGATATCTGACTCTGAGGAAATTTGTGAGGGACATATCAAATTCGGGAAATTATAGGCCAGCACTGACCCGGATTCCCTACAGCTACCCTAACTCCGAATAGCAGGCCGGGCTACACTGCTAGAGGGTCCTATAGCCTATAGCCAGGTAGGGAGAGGCCCTAGAGGCCGAAAATGAAACAGTACTGGTCGGTCCAGTCAGTCTGGTCTAGGTCGAGTCTAGGCTAGGGTAGAGCTATTAATAGATTGTAGTAATCTGTTCGGGGCTTTTGGCAGTTCAGTGATTCAGCGCTGGAGTTGTTACTGGCGAGAGACTATTCACTGCTGCTACGCGTGGGAGCATGCAAGAGACGTCGACCATAGCCCGGTCCTTGGAGAGGCAGCAATAGCTTGGGACTCCTCTATCCTCCTGCAGTACGTTGGGACTGTCAGGAGACCGGGGCTATTTGTAGGAGGTCTGCTGGAAGCTTCGCAGTGGTGGGCTGCAGCCATAGCTGCAGCAAGTGTTTTCAGAGGTCGTCTTCTTCATCAGAAAGGGTGGCGCAGCTGCTGATCTTCATCTGGGAGGTCGTCTGATGCTCATCTCCATCGGACACTGTGGCGCTGGCCGTCTTCTTCTTCTGTTGGGTGGCGGAGGTCCTCAGGGACCTTATTTGAGTGGCGATTGTTGTTTCAGGGTCCTGGGGAGAGTAGCGAAGCTACTCAGTAGAGGTGAAAGAAGCGCTGCTCCCTTAGAGCAGCGCTATATTGTTCTGAGATAATTTCTGATGTGACGAGACTCTCATATTGTGTATTTTGCTATCTCTGTGTTCATTGAATCTCTGGACGTGATGTACTCGGTGACTCTCTTGTGATTGGTTTTGAGGAGACTCTGGGGATAATCGCACTGTCAATGTGATGATCATGTTGCATGGACGAGTCTTCTGCTGTGCATATTTCTACTGTGTGATGTGATGATTCCTCTTCCTCTCCCCTTTCTTCTGTGTGTGTATGGGCATGCATCGGAGACTGTGTGTGTATGGGCATGCATGTGAGACTCTGTGTGTGAGTGTTGGCGAAATTGACAAGAAGCAACCAAGTTCATAACAGCTGCCTAACTCTTGCCGCCACCATCGCCTCGCTCTGCCGCCCACCGCCGCCTGCCACTGCCTCTGTCAACCACGGCCACTCAAACATGGGGGGAAGGGAGAGAGAGAGAGAGAGAGAGAGAGAGAGAGAGAGAGAGAGAGAGACTCCTCCACCTCATATTCCTCCACCTGCCTCCCTCATTTCATCACTGCCTATTTTCCCCTTCTTTCGCCAGCCTTGCCCACCACCACCTTCTTCTCCCACTTACCTCCCACTGCCTTTTCCCTTATGCCAAGATAGTGAAACTCCATCTCATATGCCTCCACCTGCCTCCCTCATTCCATCACTGCCTATTTTCCCCTTTTTTTGCCAGCCTTTCCCACCTCCACCCTCTTCTCCCGCTCACCTCGCAATACCTTTTCGCTTATGCAGAGAGAGAGACTCCACCTCACTCGCCTCCCTCCTTTCATCACCACCCATCTCCCGCTTCTTTCACCGGTCTTTCCCACCTCCACCCTCTTCTCCCACTCCCATCCTGCCGCCTTTTTCCTTAGGCCAAGAGAGAGAGAGAGAGAGAGAGAGAGAGAGATTGCCGCAATCTCTTTGCTTGGGGTTTCTGTATTTGGCTGTCATATCATCGTTCTGGCAAATTCTTTTCCGAGAGAAATGTTGTTGAAGCTCACGAATGGCATGGATGAAGGGGGGGGCGGATGTAGGATGGGTACATTATGGTAGAAGGAGTGGAACACGAAAGGGGGCAGAAGCATGGAGGGAAGAGCTGTGGGGAGTAGTGACTTGTATGTGAATCAATGTTTTCGCAGATTAACTGAGGAGAGGAGGAGGGCGAGAATTAATGAGTTTGCAGATCGTTTTTTTATTTTAGTTCTTGGCCCTGAGAAACATCAGGGCGGAAGGCGAGGGTAAGAGGTGACGCTGAGTGATACTGGTGCCAACTGCGGCTGACCAGCGATTATGCTCCGGAATAATAGGAAGTGTCTCTCCAGTCTCGATGGTATTTTCTGTCATTCCGTTGTTTAGCTAAGATGGCCGCCTCTTTTTCTGTCTGCCTCACACATTTGGCTCACATGTTGAGGCATTCAGGCCTGTGGATCAGTGGGGAAGAGGAGGCATGGCACATATTTCATAATAGTTCTCAATAACTGTCGTAGGACTCATTTTGGCTGCCGCATGACACATGTCACACTTACTATCAGGATAGACAACCGTGATAGCTCAGTTGGTTCGAGCTCTTGCCCCCCAGCCCAGCACAGTTCAAATGAACAACTATGACACTGCACATGGGGGATTAGGAGATTGCCAGGAGGGGGCACTATTGCTTGGGGCAGCTATGGCCAGTAGGACGTCCTGAGGGGCAGAGCAAGGGGGGGAGCTTCGCTGTGTGAAGGCATCATAATGGAGGGCTGTGCACGTGGTTGTAGGGAGTAGGTGCCGAGTAGAGGGGTGTTCTAACTTGAACCACAGGAGGTAAAGTTGGTTTCCAAGGTCCACATGCCTTGACTGGCGGGACCCTGCTGCGTAGGGGCAGGGTAGTTTCACTGCAGTAGGAGGTTTAGAAGATGGAACACATGGATGTGAGAGTTCTGAATACGTCCTGTATTGGGCACATACAGACTTACATACGATTCAAGCTAGGGTGTTGGTATAGATGCAGGACGGCATATGACTATGGGGTTGTTACCCCAGCGCAGACTGCAGATTATATACACAGTTGGGCAGGGAACATGCACGGTTCAACACACCAGCTAAGAACAGCATGCGGATCTGAACATGCATAATTCAACGGACTGTAGACCAGATTTAAAAGTACACAGGTATTGATAAAAACCATACTTGTGGCGCATCGACCCTGTGCGCTGCGCGGTGCGCGGACCCGAGGTGCGCGCGCACCGGCGCGCGCCGCGCACCTGGGTGCGCTGTGCGCGATGCCCTGCGCACAGGGCTGGTGCGCCGAGCGCGGGTGTGCTGGGGGGTGCACGCCGTGGGGCCGCATATGCGCCAGGTGCGCACAGCATATATATATATAAAATATATATATTTTTTATGTTGAACTGAAAGTTGAAACAACCCCCCCCCCAACCCCCCCACCACACACACACACGCTCCCTCTCTCTCTCTCTCTCTCTCACTGCAAGATCTGCTTC